GGGGCATTAGTCGCGGACCAGGCATACATTCAATGATTGCCTATGATACATGTTGGACTGTCACAAAAAAATTGTTCGCGTTGGGGAGCCCACACCAAGTTGTCAGATCGCTCTCAAAAAAATAGTTCGTCGTGTCGATTGGTCGAAAGAAATGCTCAATAAGACGATCCGGTGCTCGGAAACACGCCAATACATCGTGAACAGGTGCCATGAATACCATGGATTACATATGAAGCCTCGAAGTAAAACAGCAGTTCGACTGTAGGGTACAGTGTTTCAAGAGGAGCAAAATTCAACAACAAAGTTGTTCGCGCACGAGCACTTCCAAAACAGATGGTCGCCTGATTTTCGCCGGGAAAAACTGGACAGGTTGCAACCTAACAGTAGAACAACGCAGAACAGTCAATTCGGGAGGGTACACAACGATATCTGTTGGCCACTGTCTTCCCAAGAAATCAGGAAAACAACTGCCGTAGACGGTATCACTCTTTCACACGACAATGCAGCTCTCACACACTCGGCGTTCAAACAACTGCAGTGGTCAATAGAGACATAACATCGAGTTGAGAGGCATCCGCCGGACGACATCATCGGACCGAGTAGCACTGACACCGTAATCCAGAACTTGGCTTTTATTCCCGTACGTAAAAAAACAAAACTTACAAGCGTCAACGTTTTTTACGACGCCTGAAGGGAGGCGGGTTGCTGACGATCCAGAATGCATGTTTCGAGATACCTCAAACAGAGTGGCTAGAGAGCTGTTCAGGACAAATTGGTTCAAAACGCGATGCAAAAAGTGCACCACCTGCTATGGGAATTATTTTGGAAAAACAATAAAGTGATTTCCAATGAATGGAAGATTTGTTTTTGTTCTTTAATCCTGAAATATAAAAGGCAAACCCTCGTACAATATTATAATATATCGTAACCGTTCCCAATAATGCGAGAAAGTATGTGATGTAGATCATTATAAAGAAAATTTATGAAAACTGGCCTGACGCAACCTGTAAAATAAACAAAGCAAATAATCACCACCTTGTCAGATGGCAATTATTGTCCTCACAACTACATATTTCGTAATCGCCCTATAACTAATAGGAATATACTTTAGTTGCAGTGTGTGACGTGTGAATTCAAGGAACCGAGCGAATTTTTTGAGGGCGCAAGTAGAAACAAACAATAATTTCATTCAAATGTTCAATATTCTTGTGATGATGATGATGATGATGATATAAATTCATTTATTAGTATAATTACAGTTAAATTAGCAGATTCGCTCGTTGCTCAAAGCTTTTGAAGTCTTCCTGACTGCCCGCGCCCAGCAAATGGTTACAATTGCAAATAAGAGAAAAGTGTAAAAGTGTGCTACTTTCTCTCTCATTTTTTCGGTTGGACAATCTATATGTAACTTTTACCTCACATTACTTGATTATGCTTTCAAGGTTTTCACCTTCCTGCAGAAAAGATATCTTAAAAATTATATTAAAATACCTAAGAAATATTTAGGAAACTCTCTTCATTCGTGAATTAATCAAGTTTAATATCTATGAACTTAATATCTAAGAATCAATTGTTTGTAAGTCAAGCTCGAGGCTTGAATAAATTAATAAAACGAATGGAAAATATATCAAATATTTTATTTATTTTTGTGAAATGATATAACGTGTTTTTTTTTATTCAGCGAATCATTTTTTTAAATTGAAAATCTGAGAATCTCATGGCGGGAAGACGGATATTCGACCATCTGTAAAAACTGAGGAAAATGATAAAGGCGTTATCTCTAATTTTTTTCATTTGCAGAATAGAAGTTCTAAGTACGTGGTATCGAAGGGGTTATTGACCTCCACTCAGCAAGCGCTGATTCCTCGGGAAATGAAGCCCTATTTGTTGCAGAGCCCTGCCGTGAAGCTTACCAGACTTATGTAAATGTTTGAATGTTCCTGAACACAACCTTTCTTCTTTAAATGCACACACGAAGTTAACGTCGTGAATAATATATTTTTTAATTATTACACTAGGTATGTTTGTTTTTCAATTAAGGTCGTATATTCGATTAACTCACAGTGCTTGGCGTGTCCTAAATAAGGGTACCGAAGCTGCTGATAGTTAAGCCGACTCAGCGAAGCGAAACTATTGAATTTTGTTATTTCATGAAATATTTTTCAGCACACACGCTTGTCAATTAGTACTTACCTTATCTGTTTTTTGTTTGGAAAGTTTTACTTTCGCATACCTCAAGAACAAATGGACAATTAAACTTGGTACCACCAAGTAAACAAAACAGGCAACTTCAATCAACATGCCTCGCATATTGCCGCCTTGCATATTGAGAATGACCATAAGTAGAGCCCGGATTTTAAGTCAATAAAAATGTCTAAAATATGCCATATAGTATGCGAGATAAATCTTTAAAATATCCAATAAATATGCAGTATAAAATTCACAAAAAATAAATGTTTAGAACTAAAATGCAGAGAAATATATTTGTAGAAAAAATTGCATTGTGTTATGTCTTTGAAATGTGAGAAAAAGAATCATCTGCAAAAAAATATGTTTCGAAAATAATTTTGTTTTTTTATTCCTCTTAATTAACCATGCATTGGGACGCTGTCATTTGTTAATGTCCTAATACTTGGGATTGGCAAGGAGATTTAAGCAAAAAGTACATAAATTTATTGGACAATGAAAATTCTATATTTACCTAAAAAAATCTATATTTAGGTTATTGAAATGCTTGACAAGATACATTTTCAAGTTTGTTTCTGGAAAACAGGCTCGTTTGTCTGTCAAGATATTTTTATACATTGGGCACGCCTGTGAGCACGTGGTGTTGCTATCTGACATTAGAGATGGCTCTACTGACGATCAGCGAGTAGAACATACATTTGTTATATATTTGTTATAAATTTGTTATACATTTGTTATACATACATTTGTTATACATTTGAATCGAATTGAATTGAATTTTTGTTGTACATTTGTTATACATTTGTGCGGTGATGCCCATACATAAGCTCTCGGTTACTGGAAAACGATTCCTGGCAGATAAGTAAACCACGGTCTATCACGGTTTATATTTCATTCGAATCCCAGACACTGAACACGACGATCCGTCTCCCCTCGTCTGAAATTCAATCTTACCTTCAATCGCGCACATGCTAAAAGCGAAAAACACTATATCTATCCGTTGACTACAGTTTTGAGGCTAAAAGTATATTCACTTCTTACGGCGACAAGTGAGCTGTTCCATGAACCACGATAACAATAAGTCACCATTTATCAATTTCAAGAAGTTTGGTTTTAATACATTTTTACTAAACTTCCTTTATTTTTCCAAAAATTATGCTGTATGTGCAGAAATATACAGTAACCGTAAAATGGCAAATTATGCAAAATAAAATTCGTCAGAAGTGCTCTAAACAGGGATTTGTAAATATATAAGATCATTTAATTCAATTTCAAGTAACAATTAGCAAAAAGGGGGTGAATTTGCATACAAATCCGGGGTCTAATCATAAGAGTTTAGACTTGTACTTTTTTTTAAGAGTTCGCAGTAAATATAGTTTGTAACTAGTGTGAAAATGTTAGCATATTCATTTCAAACTGCCGGTCTGGCTTCGGCTCTGAGTCAGCATTGCATCTGACTGCAGTGGCTCTCACCGGGAGGTCCTAGGGTTCGAATTCCGACGGAGACGGATTTTCGACCCTACCTATACAGTTCAGTCGAATTTAGGCGGTACGTGGAGGAAAACTCTATCGAACGGTGGATGTGATTGGTAGTTTTCCGTGGTTTCTCCAATCTCTACTAGGTGAATGCCAAAGCAGTATCCTAACATCCGGTCCACAGACTGCATGCCATCATCTCCCTTGTTTTCTCTCCCCTTCAACGCACACTTACCCTTACATGCACTATTTTACAAAAACATGCCGGGAGATCTGCCGGGAGCTTCGTAGAACTTGTCTTGGCTGGAGGGGAGGTGTCCCGCTGGCGAAGACACCTAGAGACTGGGATTTCCCGCAAGACGTCGCAGCACCTCACCACCTTGTGCGAGAAAAACATTGCCACCTCCCGGAATAAACATTAACTACACTAATGGGACTACACTAATGACTGTAGCGAATCAATTTATTACAACTGTTTATTGGAAGAATGACAATCTGTTTCTATTATCCCCGTGTTCGTCCTGATTCCTTGGGTTCGTGGTGCAAATGCGGATTTGACCCCTTTGTTTTACTTCTCGAATATATTGTAGTTTTCTCTTTGATAGATGGTTATATTGTTTTCACATGAATAAGTAGAGCAATTGATGGACGAAGGCTTTTTTTGGAATTTGCAAAATGCCAAATTGTGAATTACAGCGCATTTACCACACAATGAAAAATACAAACGTTAATAAACTTAATATACATAATAGACTAGTTAGTAATATCTACCTACTACTACTTTTAGTATAAAACTATTCGTCACTTAAAAACTGTATTATATGGAAACAAGGAAATGAAGAGTTGAAGAGTGATGAATTGTTTCTATTTGTATGTAAGCTTATTATGCCAGAAATGTGATTGGAGGTTTTACATATTCTTTAGCTACATTGTTATACACACTCAGTAATTTTAAAAAAGAAAGAAAAAATTCAGCGTACAGATTTAGCATTGGTTTGAACTCGATCTGAAAATGTTCTATTTTCCAACTGTGATTCAGTATATCTAATCTCATAATTTAAGATCTAATATGATACATTAAAAAGTAAAAAACCTTTGATTATATTAAATATATTTTTTGCAGTGTTTTCTCATAGAAAAAAATATTTGGAATCCAATGTTATTAAAATGTTTCATAACTATGAAAAAATACGGAAAACCTTGTCATATTAGAATGATGAAAATGCGCAAGGATATTTCAGAATATTAAGACATGCTGTTTACATTCGACACGCTTTCCGCTCACTGTTATTTTAAAGCTACCTACTTTCGATTAACCATAATTGTCTTTAAACGAAATGTTTGGCGGAAGAGTACAAATGGATACCCCTGTTCCTCCCACGTGGGCTATACTCAATGTTTATAGATGGCGCTCAGCTGACCGCCGAGTCGGGAAGCAAATCGATAGCGGCGCGCAGTCGCATGCTGGCCGCACGCCCGGCGCGACGGTAGCTTGTTTGGGTCGCTTAGGTTCTCCTTTAGAGCATTGCCAAGATGATATCTTTACACCGTACTATTTTGTAAGTATTGAAAGCGACATTAATGCCTGGTAGACGTATGTGATTAGTTGTAATTTCGTAATTAATGAGAAAGTAAGTGAGATACTCTGTCTGGAGTTCTCGAAGTTTGAATTATAATACTGCTCAAAATAACTCCTGTGAGATGATTCCGGGAACATATGCGATCAATATATTACAAAAAATTGTCGTTTTGTTTGTTGCCTAATATTTACCAAATTCTACATTTTTAAGGTTTTTAGTTACCATCAAATCGTAATCGACAACCTGTATTGACAGGTTGGTTTGAGGATGATGGGAAAAATGACTGGAACAAAATTAGTTTATTTTAATTCGCTCATTTTTACCTCACATTGTCGTAAGATGACCCTTTTTAAGAATACAAGCTACGAAATGAAAATTAATGTTTGCTATCAATTTTTCTCGTAATGTCACAATTGATGTTGACTCTTCTGTTAAGTCCAAATGACATTTCTAATTGGGAGTTGACATGTCTATTTGAAGAACAATTTTATAGGGAAAGTTTGCGATATTTTATTTCAAATAATGTATTTTTTTTAATAATGCTATAATTCTTAAAGCAACAATAATTTACTGTGAATTTGTAATTTTTTTATTTTTGCTTTGTAGAGAAGCATGCCATGGGGCAATACGATGTGGAAGTCGCCATCCGGCTCTCAGTGTTTTGCATCGATTACTGGGCCCTTTGGAAGAGACACAGCAACAATCGCAGAGAGCATATCATGAAGTTACAGGAGATGTTCTTTGCCCTAATATGATTAGAGGCATTGATCATCTCCGTGATCCACGACTGAACAAGGTATATACTTTAGTTTAATTTTTTCCCCTACGTTATCTGAGTATTATTCTCTGATGTATCCAAGATTTGGGTGTTCAAGAGAGAACTATAGTAATTGGATGTCAGTCTTTTCATATGTTTTTTCTAGGGCCTGGCTTTTACTTTGGCAGAAAGACAAAAGTTAGGTATTCATGGCCTAATGCCTCCCAGATTTAAAACTCAAGAAGAACAGTTAGAATTGTGTCGCATTAGTGTTGAAAGGTATCAAGAAGATCTGAACAAGTACTTATATCTTGTTGAATTACAGGTACTGTATTGCATGATTCTTGTTACAAGAATATAAACATAAATAATACTATTTATGAAATGTGAAAAACATATTTTTCCTATTTTAAAATTATATGTTGTAGGACCGCAATGAGCGACTTTTCTTTAGGCTTTTATCAGAAAATGTGGAACAGATGTTGCCAATAGTGTATACACCCACTGTGGGATTGGCATGTCAAAAATTTGGTCTTATCTATCGACGACCTCGTGGACTTTTTATTACAATAAATGATGCAGGACATGTATTCAATGTCATAAGGAACTGGTGAGTTCTAAAAGAGCAATAGTATTAGTTTCTGGCTGAGAAAATGTATGAGATGAAGATTCTTTGAAATTATGTATTACTTATTGTATTGTATTATTATTTTTGTGCAAGTCTTCAATTACAGTGAAACTGCATTTAAATATATTCTTATTTTTTCCTTCTCTGTGCTTTTGTTTAAAAATATGGAAGGTATAATTATCTGCAATGAAGTACTACTGTTGAGACTTAAATGTTGCTGTGTTTGTGGAAATATTTTATTACACAGTCCTGCCATAAGTTGTTTTTTTTCTTTTCAGGCCTGAATCAGATGTTCGAGCCATTGTGGTTACTGATGGAGAAAGAATTCTTGGCTTGGGAGACTTGGGTGCATGTGGTATGGGTATTCCTGTAGGCAAGTTGTCTTTGTACACTGCCTTGGCTGGGATAAAGCCTCATCAATGTTTGCCAATCACTTTGGATGTTGGTACAAATAACCAGGTACATATTCAACATTTTGGTCCTCTGTCCAAAGGTTTTCATCTAATACGAAAGAATAAAAAAAGGTTCTGTCAAAACCCTACATACCATCATGCTGCAGCTGTAATAACACTACTTGGTATCAGCCCAAACAAATTTTTGTTGAAATTTAAGAAGGACCATATTTAATAAAGGATTATAGAAACCTTTCTGATTATTATTATTATTATTATTATATTGTTGTTGTTGTTGTTGTTGTTGTTACTACTACTTCTATTATTGTTTTATTATTTATTATTATTATTATTATTATTACCATTGTAATTATTATTGTTTTTAGGCTCTTATTTAGTGGTTTTTTTTGAGCATCGGAAAAATATATATGCAAAATTAAAATTCAGAAAAATATAAAGGATTCTGTATTCAAGATGTTCCTGGAAATCTAATATTATGTTATATGTTCTGAATTTGTTTTAGGCCCTGTTAGATGATCCTTTGTATGTTGGTTTGAGACATAAAAGAATTACAGGAGAGCGTTATGATAACTTTGTAGATGAATTTATGGAAGCAGTTGTTAAACGTTATGGTCAGAATACACTCATACAGGTAAAACTGTCTCCTATCATGAATTAATTAATTGATGATTGGCCTAAAATGTTAACTTCTAAACTGATTGATTCTTCCAGTTTGAAGATTTTGGTAATCATAATGCATTCCGTTTCCTGGATAAATATCGTCACAGATACTGCACTTTCAATGATGACATTCAAGGCACAGCTTCTGTAGCTGTGGCTGGACTGCTTGCATCTCGACGTCTTACCAATAAGAAGCTTTCTGAAAATACAATTTTGTTCCTTGGAGCTGGAGAGGTATATTAATAAAGAATGTTTAATTCTAATATAGGACTCCAGAATTCAGTTTGAAGTTTTTCATTATTAGCAGAAACTACTTGAGGCAGGCTTACATAATTTTAACTTTGCTTACCCAACTTTGTTTATCCTGCAAACTCATGCAATGTCAACAAGCATGTTCCCCAAAATAAGCAAGCTCTGTTTTTTCTTTAAAAAGTGACTTATCTCAATATTTAGTTTCTGTATGGCTATTCTAAATTGGACTGTATTGTTGAATTTTAGGCAGCTATAGGAATTGCTGACTTGTGCGTAAAGGCCATGGAAACTGAAGGAATATCGTTGGAGGATGCTCGAAATAAAATATGGATGATGGATATCGATGGATTATTGGCGAAAGGCAGACCAGAAGGACATTTGGAAGGTTAATATTTTAGTTAATTATGTTTTTGTGTTATGGTACATTTTGAAACAAAGATATATATTTTTAAATATGTACAGAAATATTTTTAATCATTATTACAGAACCAAACTCTCTATCTAACATTAACCTAATTAAATGAGCTTTTGTTGGCATCTGTGTTGCGTAAGGCATAGTAAGTAATTTGCAAAAGTTTCCATTCAAGTAGTCAGTTGCCTATAGTAAATATTTTCCTTTTTGCAGGACACAAGGCATATTATGCTAAGGATCATGGAGTTGTAAAAAATCTTCATGCTATTGTGAAGGAAATCAAACCATCTATCATGATTGGTATGCATTATATAAAACTTACTTTTTTTTCAACCACGAGAAATTTGTTGTTTTAGTTTAACTTTTCATAATTTTTAATTCATAACTGCACAATTTTTATTTCCGGAATTTAAGAGGGTGGTTAATTAGCATGGTTAGTTTTATGCAGTTACCTGCAAATGTATACTGAAATGTGTATTGAATTAAGGAACGCATGTTCTTTTATAATCTTCAACTATGTTTTAACAGATTCTTTATGACAATCACTTGTTCAGATTTTACTAACTTTAGTTCAGTTTAAAGACCAAAGCAATGTTTCTGTTGTAACTAATTCACATTTAGTATATTGTGGATCTAAGTGAGCTTAAAAATAAATATCAAATTTCAACAAGTCTATTGTAGGAAAAACAGTGGTGAACAATGTTTTCCTTCTATCCCTTTAGATAAGGAATTACTTTTCTATCATTCAAGACTTATTATTTGAACCTTCTGAACCCTTAGAGATAGTTTTGTCTGTCAGTGCTTATCGGTTTCACCATTCCTAATTACTTTGTGGAAAAACTCTGGTGTTCTTTTACAGCTAGACCTGCTGTAAATGCATATTGAAATCTTATTTTAGAAATTGTCATTAGGGATAAGTTGTGCAAAGCAACATTGTGACTGTTGGAGTAGTTCTTCAAATTTTTCAACTTATGATTTGTGCTAATACATATACCATTAGTTGGTAAATGCATGACGTTTTGCTTCAATTGCAATTTATCGTGGGGCTTTCTGTCTGCATGTAAGACTTAGATGTTAGTGTGTTGGCAATGGATGTAAACATTTATGAACTTATAAAAATTAAAATTATATGAAGAAGAAATACTTTTCTATGAGTATTGATGTTGAGATTCTCCTGTTTTAAATGCTACTGAATCTTAATAACATAGTACAGATTGTTGTTTTTTCTAACTTGCTTGGATGTGATTGAAACTTACTTGGAGAAGTTGAATTAGTTTAATTTGTGTTGAGTTTGGGCTCTAGCCTTCTCAAACTGTCACAACTTGTAGGTGTTGTCCCTTTTTTATGCTTATTTTCTTGGATGCAATTTGTATGACGGAACTATTTGTCTAAACCTGGTTTTCAAAAGGAATATCGTGATGATGATTTATATATTATGTATCCTTTTTTACTATAATTTTGTGCTTAAAATTAGTATCCTTACAATTATTATTATACTATTATATTTTGAGCTAGTGATCAACGTGCATAAAATTTTTCTCTGGTTTTGAGGAAGTTTTAAAAAATATTTACTGTGTCTTATTAATGCTTGGGGCAAGTGGCATTGCCCACCTTCAAAATGAGATAGGGTATTGACCTGACATCTGGTAGTGCATGTTTTTGATTGGTTTTTATTTTATATGTATTGCGAGCTTCTCCTAAAGTAAGAAGCAATTCATTAAAATTACAATTGAATTGTCTTAGGACAGTTCATGTTGAGGAATATGACCAATTTAAAAAATGGTCAATCAATTTAATGAAGTTCCAAATCGTCAGTTATTTTGATCAAACCTCTTTCTACCTAACATTTTTTTAAAATCAGATATTCATTTTATTTGCAAAAGTTTCCCATTTTTATTAGTATATTGCTGTTGTGAAGTGTTGCCATGGCCAATTATTGTATTTCACATTTTGTTTATGTAATTTTTATAATATTTTTGAACATCCTTGCAAGGCATGCTGTGATGCATTATTTCAATGTCTTTATAATAAAATTGTACTGATTGAGTTAGTGTGGGGAGAGGGGTGCCTCTATTATATTTGTGACAATTATGCATGCAGGAGCCTCAGCAGTTCGTGGTGCTTTTACTCCAGAGATTCTCAGAGACATGGCCAGCTTCAATGAGAGACCCATCATTTTTGCATTAAGTAATCCCACAAGCAAAGCTGAATGCACTGCAGAAGAGGCATATGAACACACTGATGTATGTTTCTTATGAAAATTTTTTGTAATCACTTGCACTGCATTTCACAATTTATCTTTGTTATTCGTTTTGAAATGCTAAGGGAATTGTAGCTGTTATAATAACAATATTCTAATATTTATTCTATATTATTATTATTATTATTATTATTATTATTATTATTATTATTATTACTTATAGAATAATTTTATTGAGTATGAGCTTTAAGAAGTGATGTTCTGATGAACTGGGAAAAGGAGGTCGGAAAAATCTATATAAATGGTTTTTGAAACAAGATAGTAATCAATGTTTATAAATTTTAGGGTCGAGTCATCTTTGCTAGTGGTTCTCCATTTCCCCCTGTTACTGTGAGGGGCAAGACATTTTATCCTGGTCAAGGAAACAATGCATACATATTCCCTGGTGTTGCATTGGGTGTAATTGTGACTGGAATTCACCACATTGAAGAACAGTTATTTCTCATTGCTGCTCAGGTTTGATACATTACTAAATGAGTTGAACTAGAATTACACAAAATATGTTCATTTTGAAGGATTTATTTACAAAAATATGTTTCCAGAATGTAGCAGATCATGTTACTGATGAAAATCTTCAACAAGGAAGACTGTATCCACCACTAAGCATGATCAAAGAGTGTTCAATATCTATCGCTACACAAATTGCTGAATATGCCTACAAACATGGTAGGTTGCTTTTCTTATGTCTTTGTGACTAGCTGTGACTTTTGTATGTAATAGCTTCATTTTTTGTGAGCTTAAAGGCATCTTTTAAGCATGAGTTAATAGAATAGAAGTTACCAAATCAAATAAAGATAATCAGTAAAACATGGGAAGAGCCTGACCACATAAAACATTTTATTTTCCGTATGTGAAGATACAGCATAATGTTTCTTGGTTCATTATAACCAGATTCAGTGGGAGGACTAAAGCATGATAAAACCTTAAGAAGAATTCAAATTTCCACCTGAAGATGTGGTTACATTGAACCGCAAAACATTTTATATTTTCGTATGTGCTATATTTTTGTATGTGGGAAATAAATGACTCGCATGCTGAGAATCTTCCTGAATTTTATTGATTTGAAATACTTCGTTTCTCTATACGTAGTTGATTTCGAATCTTCTATGAGGACTAGATGGTTAAAAAGATTGCAGGTAATTGGAACATATTTCAACATTTCTTGAATGCATTCTATTTATTTTTACTCTTATATGTATTTAATCAGTATTAATCACAGTATGTAGAAGAGAAAGTGTTACACACAGAACTACTGAAGAGTCCTTGTGAATTGATGAGCATTTAATTTGATTGACTTGTGGCATTTATCATGCTTTGTTATTGTAATCTTATAGAAAAAAGTGTGTGAATGGTGAATATAAATGTTAATATAAATTGATAAACACTTGCCGAATTAAAAAAGGTCTGGGGATTCCTTAAACAGAAATCTGATCTAATTTAATTTTAAAAAGTATGAAGCAGAACTGGAAAACTTCATCTTGTTTATTTAATTTTAAGAGAGTTGAATGATGTTTTGGCAAATTTTTGAGAGTTACTCCTATTTACACTTACTATTATTCATTACTTTTATATTAATTTATTTTATAATGAGTTCCATTTTTAGATCAAAACTTTGTTGTTGTGATTATAATTCTATTATTAGTTAATGTACACACTTCATATTTGAATTTTATTGGCAATAATTCATTAGTACAAAATACATTTTTCAGAACATTGGCATGTTCCATTTACTCTAAACTAGTCTAGATCTCCCTTTGCAGTTTCAATGTACGCTTATAAAGTCTGGAACCAATGAAAATCAATCACAACACATCAATACATTACAATTAGCCTTAGTCTCAGTGATCGTCATACCTTCATTTTAGGGTACCACTACCAACAATTGAAATAAGCTGGAGACAGCACACTTTTTCTTGTACATGCTGTAGTACGACCTTCTCTACTTTTCTAATTTTAATAAGTCTTCATTGAAATTAATTTGAAACCCCTTGCATGCTTGCTTGCTTACTTGGAATCTAAATCTACTAGAACATTATACTCTGAATAAATAGCAAGGAGATAGTTCAGAAGGCAGAGAATGAAATTTCCTCAGTTCAAAAAAATTTAGAAAGTTTAGGTATCTCATGTTTAATCTGAAGAAGTTCACCTTCAATGCAACAAGATATTCTTGAGATGTGGTTTTATTTTGGAGGTTTTCTCCAATAATTTCTCAAAAGATGGCAAAACAGTGCCTTTTACTGGTTATCTTTGGAGTTTTTTTCACAACATCTTTCCTCTTTTTAATTTTTGTTATCAAATGTAAAAATTGTGTAAGTTTTCTTCATTCAATTTTAGAGATATTTTAACATCAGTTTTGCAGAGGGCTTAGAACCTAAAAATGAAGATCAAATTAATTTCTTTTATCTTAATTTTTAACCAATCCTGTTAAATGTGGATTCAATTTTATAGGTTTGGCTTCAGTGTATCCTGAACCCGAAGATAAACGAGCTGTTGTTGAATCTGCCATGTACAATTTTAACTATGAAAGTGCTATGCCAGATGACTACCCATGGCCAGAAGCATCTCTGGATAGTCTTCCCTCAGTTGAAAAAATGAAGAGGCCTCCTAAGGCAAGAAGTATAGAGCTTCAATAAGACCTTCATTACTTGAATTGATGGGTCAAAATATGCTACTGATAAGATATTTGAAGTCTCCGTACAAGTACTCTGAACAAATTATCTGGTATTTGAAGGCAGTCTTTGTTGGAAAATAATGTGGATTCCAGAAGTGGTAAAAAGTACATGGAAGTTGGAATTGAAGAATGTTAGTTGATGTCAGGGGACTGTGTTTTGAAGGTAGTATCAAAATAAAATGGTACAAATTTTGAAAAGTTATTTTATTTGATTAATTTAATCTGGGGAAGAGCAATTTCTAATCAGTATTTCACAATTTACTTTGCACATTTAAAATAAGAGTTCTTAATATGATTGTGAGGAAGAATATTACAGTATTAAAGTGCATATATTGGGAAATTAAGGTGGCTCTTTGAATTATAGTGATGGTCATCCATCATTATATCGCTCCAATCAATGTTAATGTGAGAGTGTATTACTGAGGAGTCTGCATTTTATTGTCCAAGAGACTGCGTTCACGAATGACTCATGTTAGCATCTGCATTAAAGCACTAGCTTTTATTTTTACAATTATGTTGATGAAAGGCATGGAATATTTGTATCTTTCAATTTAATTTTAATGAAAAAAAAGTGAACGATTTGATTAGTATTATAAAATATTTTGAGCACATGCATATAGGAAAACATTTGGACTGCTGGGAAGTTCATTTTAATGAAATGTATAAAGTTGTTGCATTTATGTAATGTTTACTGGAGGTATTATGCAGATGACTTTTGATAATTGCAATCCTCAAGAAACTATGAACAAGTGCAACTTATGAAATGTTTTCTTAATCTGATTCTCATTGTATTGTTTGCAAAAAATTAAGTTAAAAGGTCTTGATTCTCACCATTGTTAATACTTGGTATTGTAAATATATCTCTAATAGAATTTGTCCAAAGTTAGTTAGATTTTCTGCCAATTTCTTATTTTTAGCCAGAATCATCAGAAGTGTCAGTTGTGATCATTAAGCAATTTCAATGTGTTTATAAGTCAAAGAAAAATTATGTTATCATTATTGCCAATTGCCTACACTTTTTGGTTTTCGTAAGAGATTAATTTAATGGTATTAATGGATTTGATGGTACAGAGTGAAATGTATTTTGGCTATGGTATTTTATTTCTTCAACCAACCATACTCCTTGAGCTTCTAAGAAAATAATAATTTATTTATAAAGCCAATTAAATAGATTCTGTTTGTAATGCTATCAGATTATGCAATTACTATTTTTAAAACTTAGCATTTGTGGCGTTCTCCCTGCTTTTGTAATTTGAAATTAAGAAGGAAGTTGTGTATGTTATGTAACTTTAAAAAATTGAAAAAGCCAGTTTATTTTCATTTTTGTGTATTTTTTAAAAATATTTCATTTGTAACTTTAATTATTTGTGGAATTAATTATCAAACAATTAAAATTAAACATTTGTCTCATTTTCATTAGAATATTATGCAATACCAATGCCTCTTATCTGTGGTGTTAATTACACCCTTTTATTTCTCTATTATGTTCTTGTTTATTTTGAATTTGAATATTTTTTGTTCGAAATCAAAATTTTAAGGGTGTCCCGGCAAAGTATGAGGATTTTCTTTTCTGTATGTGCCACAAGAAATAAGAGGAATGCTACTAATTAGCAGAAGTCATCTTGAGATGTGATATCATTTTTTATTGAATATGTATTCAAAATTACATTATGTATTGAAGTTGTTTGGAAAAGTAAGTTTGAGGTACTGAAGATAGCAATAACGTTCTTATGTTATAAGTTATTTAATTAAACATACAGTATTTAAAACCAAGTTCCAAAGTATTACGGTATTTCACTGAAATTATTACCATATGTTTTATGGTACTAAATGAAATTTAAAATTCAGAAACTCAGTATTTTACAATTTGAGGCACCATAAGGTGGTTTTGTGTGTCTCCAGTTCTTTCTAATATTGTACTACTCTGAATCACTTGACTTGAATCAAGTGTTAGAAACAGAATACTCCTCTTATGTGTTTGGTGCATTTTATGTTTTTAGGACTTGTCTGCGGTCAATGTGTATTAATGTATAACTAAATTGTATGATATTTTAGCAATAACGTAAATATTTATGATTCATTGAGTTATCTGTTCTGTTTAAGGGAATGAATATTACTGAATAACTCTGCACATTTTGTTAGGTTTATGTAATATGAATTCTTTGTGAATTTATTTTCTGAAAATGTGACAGAAGTAAAAACATATGTTTTGTGATTTTAGATAAATCAAAAAACTTTGGTGAACAAGATTCTGCAATGTTGAAATAATATTTTATGAAAGAGTATATTCTGTGGGTTTTCAGAAGTAATGTCTCACATGTGAACAGAATGGTTAATTTGTTTAGGAGTACTGTTTGATTTTATGATTCTTGACTGTATTGTGTGACATAATATGGTATAAAAGAATTCCTGTAATTCACTTAATGTGAAGTAGGAATGAGATATATTGATTTTAAATATAGCTGTTATAGTGTAGTAAGCAATAGAATTATAAATCAGTGACAGACTTAATATATGTTGTGATTTGTTGTGAAAATTATAAAATTAATATGAAGAATGAAGAAAACATGATCCTCCAGAAACAATAAATAATTTAATAGTAGATATTTATTAATGTGTTGGAATGAATCTTAAATAATGAAATAAAATGTGCCCAATTTATTGATCCGCTTGAGAAAGCCAACTCTGCTTGAAAGTTCCTTATGAAGAAAGCAAAGTGCCAGTCGTCTAGTCTTTTGACAAATTTGATGCTTTCTTTTGTGTTTCATATTTGTGTTTACATAAATATTGCACTTTCCCTTTTTGTAGGAATCTGCTGTACCCTACTGAACTGTAAAATATGAATTGTACAGTGCAATACACATTGGAAGTAAATTAAAAAATTTTTGCAAGATCTGAGATAAAGAATGGAAGATCTGTGGGCTCAAGGAGGTCATTTGGGAGAGAAGTTATACATTGACTGTAACTAATATGAAATATTTATTGTGAAAAAGGAATTAAGATGCAGAATAAGAAATCGTATAAATGATAATGGTACAAAATTCATATTATATTCAGTATCATAAATGAAAATTCATGAAAGTAATTTCATATATGTCTTAAAGACCTAGCAATATATATTTGGAATTAGTTTTTAGAGCTGTGAGGATAAAGCTCTAAAAGTTAATTCTTACCAAGAAAGGTGCAGGAAGAATGACCATTCTTCTATTCTGTATAATTGTCATGCATTGTTATGTGTGATGAAATGTATGTATGAAAATGTCTGTAGTATAAATGTTACATAGAATCATTTTTATCTAGTGTTTCACTGACAGGAGCCTGTACTTAACACATGTATTCTTTTCACTCAGAAATGAAATATGTTACCATAAATTGTTTTCCTAATTCAATTGTTTGTGGTGTTACCTACATGATAAATTTGATTACCTTACCCTTTGTTCATGAGCAAACTTAAATCAAATACATTCATGTAAGGAAAAGTGTTGAAGATCATATGAAGTAGGTCTTGCTTCAAAAGTGTTTGGTGGAAAGTTCATGATGTAGGGTAAAGGTTACGAATTTTTCAGTTAAAACGTAATTTTACAGCACAAAATGCCTGTTAAGATAATGCCACATATTGTTTTATAGGCAATGTATCTTAATCTCAGCAGTGTATCCGCTCTGTGTCATGTTGAGAGATTCTCAGAACCTAATATTGTCTTGATATTTGTTCAAAGATTTACAAGCCATTTGTTTGGAAAAACTGGGACTGCCCTAGAAACTGTTTTATGTTGTGGTTTTGTAATTTAGAAAACGTTTTCTGAAGAAAATTTGAAACTTAATTGGGAATATAATTTTGTTTGGATTGTTGAAAAATTTTGGTTTCAAAACTATTCCATTTTATTTTTCAATTCTTAAAAATTGCTTCTTCCTCCCACCATTTTTTACCCTGGCCTGCGGTCGTTTACTTTCAACCGGTGACAGCTCGCCGGTATGATTGATATCAGACACGTTTCGTTTACGTATTCGTGCTATTCCAAGCAGTACACAGTGGAAGTACAACAGAAAATTTACTTTTTGGCGCGAGATACGGTGAGTAGACAAAAGTACGTCGTTTGTTGAAGCGACAACACGAATCGCGTGCGTAATAACACAACACTTCGATTTTTCTATGGTGGCGGATGACTAGGCCGTTATTACTCCCGGCTTATAAAATGAAACTTTTTTTTTTGTATAAAAAACAGTGATGAGCACATTTCAGAGGCCACGAGCCCCGTTGAGAAGGATGTTCGCGAATTAATTAAAAATATTCATTTTATAATGCAGGAAGGTAACAATGCCATCGCCACTATAGAAAAATCGAAGTATACACAAGAAACTAGGCGTCAATTGGCGCGATCCATTAAACTCTCGTCTCCCCCGAACTGGAGGCGGCGTCGAACGCATGGATAACGATCGGCGGGTAGCAAACCCTGGCGCTCCGAGTGCACGCCGGCCTTGGGGGTGTGCTCTTGACAAGGCCGGCGCGGATCGTTCCGATACAAGCGTTGGCTGGCGGGCTCGCGCGCGCGAAAGTTCGTTAAAAGAAACAGCCCCTCCCAGAAGAGAGCTATCGACGGGGACGCCTGGTCCGGCGCCGCAGCGCTGCCACCGCAGACTCAAACCACTCGCGGGTCGCACCCGGTCGTTGAAGGTAAGCGAGCAACAGGCGGCCGGCTCCTTTCCCGCCGCCGCCGCGCTGCACAGCGCCGCGTCGCGCCGCACCGCGCCGACGGCGAGCGAGCGCGTGAAACTGCTTTTCCCGCTCGCTTTCAAACAGACGTGCTCTGTTTGTTGCAGGAAACGCCGCTCCCACCCCACCCCACCCCACCCCACCCAGCTCAGCCGGCCAGGGACCCAGGCGGCGTGCTGCGTGAAGACGAGCGCTGCGGGCGACACCCCGACCGAACGACGCCCACGCACTCCCGCCACCGCCACCTCCTCAGATGGGCAACTCGGTGGCCGTCGCCAGCAGGTGCCTGGAGCGCAACAAGGAGCAGCGTGACAGGTAGGGGCGCGGGCTGCGGTCGAGGGCAGCAAGGCCAACGCTGGGGCCACGTGGTTTCGGCCTCCAGGCGCTCGGCACCGTTGACATGATGCCGTACAGCTGTCATTCGCTACTCATTATTTAAAGAACTTCAATCAAGATCTTTGGAACGCGATTTGGATCTATTTATGATAAAAAAAAAGAGGAGGCGATGAATCTGAAAGTGAAAACATTCCTACATTACTTGTTACTGTCAGCTCTGCTACTGTTTTGAAATAAGTAATTGAGGTGATATTGCTACACAAGTGATTCTCGCGACATCTTCTAGAGGAGCTCATTGTCGCTATGTTTACTGAGCATCCAGTTATTTTCTGGATTTAGTGAGAAGTTTTGTTTTGGGGCGCAAACTGCCTGCTTCACATTAGGGAGATGATGCTGCAGAACTATATATTCTTTGACTACTTGTGACATCGTCGCTGTTCTCTTTGAATAAACAAGCTCGTTGCACGCGTGCGAGAGCATTCGTTTCTACGCTTGCCCTATGCACAAATGTAACTTTTGTGCCCAGAGATCTTGTGCTCGCAGATACGTACCATCAAGTAGAGTGAATGTGATTGACAGTTATTGTTTTTATTGTCATGGCAAACCGAATCACACATGCTTTCTATTTTCCGCAAGTTTGTTGACGGATGACAATTGCATTCAGTCAGGGAGGTAAATGATCTGGTTCTCAATGTTGTTACCATTGATTTCTACTTTTATTTCGTTGCTATTAATACAATGGCTGAAGATCTCGTCTTCTACTGTTATCTGAAATAATGCGCCTCAAAATGTGTTGATCGAAATCTTCTAAATCAGACTTACGATTCTTAGGATTTCCATAACTGTTTGATTATCAGAAGTGCTAGTCAGTGCGAGAAGAGCGTGAAGAGAAATGTAGCAAATAATTCAGTCACTCACAATTCGCTGTTCATTAACGTCTTTTCATATAACTATAATTTTATTGTACAAAAATACTGCAAACACAATTGTGTTAATATGCTATTTTACAAAAACGATTGGCAAACCATTATTTTGTGTTCAAGGGGACCATTTACTGAACGAAATAATACAAATCGTATTACAGGGATTCCCCGCCAACGTCTATGCTCCTTTGCCATCATTCAGGCTTCCGTATTTGTGTAGCAAACCATTGTTTGGGTGTATCCCCGTGCCACTGTTGGACTACTGCATGAAGTTTGTGATAGGTAATGAACTTTTTACCCATCATGACCTCTTTCGTGGCGTCGAAGGAGCCAGATCAGAAGTCATTAGGACCCAGATCCGGCGGATCCGCAATGTACTGTTTTACTAACAGTTGGTGGAAATTGGAAACACCTGTTTCCTTCTCCAATTCATCAAACGTGATTTGCCTCTTCGTCGTTATCAAGTCATTGACACGCCGGGCACTGTTTGGTTGGCGAGCAGTTGCTGCTTGTCCAGTGCTTTTGCGTTTTCACCACAGTCCCTGCCGTCTTTAAACCCTGATCCCCAACGAAACACAGATCTGAGACTCGGTGATATCTCCCCACCTATGACTACTAACCTTTTGTGGAAGATGGCCACAATACGCTGGCCGAAACGTTAGCCTCCATGACATTGACGCGGCTCGTCCCGGATAGCCCAGCCAACAACCTTTTGTGGATGTCTGAAGTTATCACTCTTTTCCCCCAGAGAAACAACTTTGTCCACTATTGTTCACAGGTTTGTGTGTTTCCATGTTTTCTCTTCAATGTCCCCCAGCGTACTGGCAAGCCGGAACAATTTGTTACTGATGAGCCTTGGACCTGGCAATAACTGTATTCATAACTATGCACACGCAATGAGCTACTTATGGAAAGCAGCAACACCATTTGGTGGATGTAGACTGAACTACGGACTATCTTCACACATACATCGACACTGATAGTTTGTTGAAGTTATAGGAGTGCCAATCAATATTGAACGAACTAAATATATTGCTGTACAATGCATTAGAGTTACAATGTATTGGAGTTCTCTTTCAGTAAATACATTTTATGTATCTTCATTGCCTACTCCTGGCCAGGGCGTACATATGACTTGCGTCGGATCGAATCTTCATCTAAAACTGTGCTATAATTTAGCAACGTAGCATTTAATTAGCACTCAAAGTTGCTACCAGGGACTGTGCGCACACGAAAGCAAACGAACTCGTCAACGAGCGAGCGCGTTGCGCACAACAGTCATTGGGTAGTTAAAGTATTTTGATGACTAAAGAGCACACAACTGGTCCAAATGATTGATTAGTTTTCGATTGTGTCGTAAAGGTCATTTTGATCTATTCGAGTCGCTGAATTCGCCTGTCAGACCTACGAATCTTCAGGCAACATGTGCGGATCCATGTTCTGCCTAAAGACGTCTGGGAATTCATTGGACAGTCTGATACTATGTGACGTCGCTCGGAAATGATAACTCCTCGGGAGTGATTGCTGGAAATGTGCCGAAACGCCGAAGTGCACACGTTATTCCTGGCAGTTTTTGGCAACGCTTTTGGCCGATCGTCTATTTCCGGTGTAGGGTAGTGTCTTATTTACAACTTAGGGTAACGTAGTTGGCCGAACTAAATGCCTAAAATGTGGGTTTCGACGGCAATTTGTAAGGGCCGGCAAATTCTGAAACGTCGAGTTTTTGAACCCGACCCGCGATTTTCAAATTGACGAACATTCGAGATGCCTATTGTTCAGTAGGACTGGTATTTACTATTATCTCTATTTATTTTGTTAGGTTTTGAGCTCAGGAAATAGTAAATTATTCTACGTACGTGATACAAATAATAATATGTCTGTTACTTTTAAGTTCGTTACTAATAATACTTATACATCAGCATGAGAAAGTCATCAAACATTCCAAACAATACAATTATTTCTTCCGAGTCAGAAACTACGCGAAATAATTAATAATACTTACTACTTTTAGTTATTTTAGTCAATAATGTATGCTTATTAGAGACTTAAAGTATTAAATAAACAAGAGTTTAAAAATTATATTTGTGCTCTATATAATGAATGGAATTATTATTGAGTTCTTACTGTTTTATGTAAGTTATTGAAAAGCGGTCTTTCTTGAAAACTATCTTTCTTATTTCAAGTATGTAAATACTATTTTCTCTGTCTGTCTCGAAGTAAATATTTAATTCGTCAATTTCTTGTACATGACAAAGAACGAGAAAAAATCAGTCTCGTATTATTTAATGTCATCTGTTTAACAGCTACAGATGTCCCTGAAAGTAATAATATGACAAACCAAACAAAATAACTTTATAATTTACATTCTCATAGAAATATTCGAATACCTACATACTTATTTAAACTACCACAGAACTTTAATTTAAACTCTTAGTATTATAATGAAAGTAATAATTCATTAGATGACAATAGCCTTTCTTCAAACAATTGTTCTAAATTGTATTCGTAAGTGTATCCTACGTAACATAACAATATCTGTGACATACCTATCTAGATCAGGTTTTTGTCCAGTTTCCCTGATCCGTTGAGCAAATGCTAAGATGGCCCCTTGTTTTGCTTTTGGACGTAAATGTAGCTTCACTATGCGCACATTATGTTGAACTCTCCTTTTGCTTGTAATAGAGTTACTATTTTGTTAGCAATGCAGTAAAATTATACTTGCAATTCGTGTACCGATGCAAGTAAGTTTTCTATAACTCAGAAACAAAAATGACTATTTTTCAAATATTGCTAATCTTGCGATTTTTAAAATTATTTTTTATTTATTTATGTTAAACTTTTACTCATCTTTCAACTATTTGTAGTTAAAATGATGGGAAGGGATTCTGTAACTCAAGAAAACGTGCGCAGATAATCTTTTCCCCCTACATCATACAGTTTTTACTGTTTTTTGACTGAATAAATCTTAATCTGTTAAGGTATTTTTCCCTTTCGGATTTTTTTTGTGAGCTCTAATGTTGCCATTACTTCGTATACTTATTTTTCGTTTTGCTGTCGCTTTTTTGTTTAGCGTGGTATAGAGTAATACTGCAAAGAGTCGATAATGTTCACGGAAATTTACGTTTTATGGTCCCCTATACCTACGAAGTGGACCACGCGTCGTTTGCTTCTATAAGTCAGCGTCTAAATGCTATAATAAGTGAAAAAAACGTATTTTTAGTCCAAGGTATGTATGCAAAGTTAAACTAGAGTAAATCTATAAATTGTAATGTCATTTTCAAATTTAGTGACATCTATTTAATCAAAATTACCTACTCTCATTACTACAACACTTCTTATGAAGAATTCAGCAGGCGGATATGAAACACACATTACTGTCCTGCATTTCTCGAAAACTATGTGTTCTTGACTCTTAAAGTTCGGTCTTCTGGACCCCAGAGTGGATCTCGAGTTATGTGTCTCAGGGCGTAATAAATGCGGAATTTTTGTATCGCCTACTGCCTATTCCGGCTACAAGTTCTGACTTCGGTGGTGTAACGGTTGGCGTATCAGTCTATTGTACCCGAATTCACGATCGAGAAAACGCCTTCCTTTGGAGGGGAAGTCAAGCCGGTTTTCCAATGTTGTAGATTTACTGCATGTAAAATATCGTCAAGCGTAAAAGGAGCCCCTAGCAAAATTTTAATTGCTTGTATCGTCGCTCAAGTGATACCTTCCTTCGCGGATGGATGGTGAAAAGAGTGGAATTTACGTGGTATGACGGAAGATCATGCCTGAGTCTTGACTCAGGAAATAAGGCTGAATTGAATTGAACTCAGAGTTTTGCCTCTTATGGATACCATCACTCTGTTGCACCGATGGTCAGAAACTAACAGAATTTCTAACTTTTCTAAAATTAAATTATTTGATCTTCTCTGCAATTCACTTGCAATGGACGGGTCTAGGCATTCCCTTCTATTAATAAACGCTTAGTAATATATAAATGTAAGGTATCTAGAACGGAACGTAATAAAATGTTTTCGACACAGCACCGGCCCTATATGACGTATCGAGTGT